CGACAAGAAGTGGGTGTTCCTCGGCGCATTGGGGTGCATGCTGTCCGGACTCGTCATGCCCATCTACGCCTTCCTTTATGCCGAAATTTTCAATGTGAGTTATTCTGACTTGAGACTGAATTTTGTTGACGACAAAAAAAGAAAAACTGCACTGATAAACGAGGGATTACACGTTTCCGCGCGGACCCGTTTCGGCGCGAACTTGGAATGATCTGAACACGTAGGGATAAAAAACATCATTTTTCTGATGCTCAGGGGTTCTAAGTGGCAAATAGCCAGACACCTTCTCAATGTAATTGCCACCCATTTGTACACACTTCTCAGCCCTTTTGATCCATGTGTTGAAATTAGCATGCATTGAAATGTCAAGTTAAATTTTGAAGCCTCTCATCCGCAGATGAACAGGAACAATTGTAACAAGCTGATCCGCGCGGAACCGTGCAACCCCTCGTACTCAGCTTTACTGCTGGATGAAATTGTCTGGTACAATGCCGTCAAGGAAATATTAATTTGAAGAGTGGCCCAAGGATAATTCAGTCTTCGCTGCAAATCTCTGATTTTGTATATTTTAAATTTCGCAGACATTTACTCTAACTGGAGAGGAGCTGAGAAGATCTGCGGCTTTTTGGTCTCTCATGTTCGTGGCGTTGGCAGTCCTCGGTGGCATCGGGGCCATGATCAGGGTNAATATTTTAAAAGTTGAATGATTCTTGTGCAGCTGCACCAGGGTATTTTTTTCTTGAAAAAATTCGCCATCAAGCATTCTACATAAGAACAGTTCAAGTCAACCTTGGAGACAGCATCCACAAGGAAATTTCTCTTGAAGAATTTTTTAGTTGGAAAAAAGTGCCGTTCTCAATATAAAATAAATTTATGATATCATGGAAAGGTGACATTTGTGATATTCTGGGTTTGAAACGGCAAAACAAATAATTTGACAGGATGTTGAACATGGAGGCAAGAGTTCCTTTGTCAAATTAAGCTCTTGAATTTTTCTGGAAAGGATTAAATTATATCTTTATCGCACTGCTCCTTTCTGGCCCCCAGAGAAATCGGAAGACCTACAGAAATTAAAGTTATGGAGACTTGAGGGGGAATGTCTTATATTATGGGAGGTCTAGATTGAGTTTAACAGAATTCAGCCGATGTCAAAATTTGTAGCTTTCTGGCTTATGGATGTTTGAGTTATGAAGGTCCAACAATTCAAATTATAGAGGCCAGCTAATCTTAGAGACCTGCCATTATTTACAGCAAGGTCAGTACATTGCCTTGGGTCAAACCAAAATGCTTGAGCACTTGAAAATTATTGACATCAGCATGCAATAGAAAAAATATTATCACAGAATTGATAATCGGTTATATTTAATAAAAATATCATTCTTGGTCCTCTTTTCTGATGTGTGCTATTTATATTTTTTTCTGTGTTTGGACAGGTTGCAAGTCAAGCAATCCAAAACATCAGAACTGTTCAGGCTTTGAACAGAGAAAGAACATTCTTCATAAAATACATCAACCAGCTGCTGGAGCCGTTCAGAGAAGCCAAAAAGCAGGCATATGTCTATGGCTTGGTTTACTCATTTTCCCAAGGTGTGATTTTCTTGATTTATGCTGGAGCTTTCCGACTTGGAGCATATCTTGTTTCCATTGAAGACATGTCTCCAACCAACGTTTACAGGTTTGCAGAGAAGCTCTCATTTTTCAAAAAAACAATTTTTAATTATCATTAATGACGATGATATTATTTTCTGCAGAGTGTTTTTTGCAATTGCATTTTGTGCAATATCTGTTGGGCAGATGAATTCCTATATTTCTGAGTACTCCAAAGCCAAATTATCTGCTGGACTCTTGATTGGTTTGATCAAAAGGAGGCCAGAAATTGATTCCTACTCAAGTTATGGAGTCTTTCAAGTGAGTATGATAAGCATACAGTCAACCCTCACACAATGTTCCATTTGGTTAACGTTTTTTCACTTAATGTTCCCATTTGTAAGCCCAAAAATCTCCACCAAACTGGCACCAAACATCAAACTTGAAACAGGGTTAGATGCGCTTGAAAGTTTTTAACATTTTCTTTTTTTTAACCCTTGGGTGGCAAAGTTGAACTATTTTTGCAAAATTTTGTTGCACCTCAGAGAGGTCAAGAAAAAAATGAAAACAGGTGGTAAAGGGCAAAGTCAAGAAAATTCCCAACATTTTTTTTTTTTTCCCTGGGTTCAGAAAAATTTTTCCAGAAAACAAGTAGTAGAGCATCCGCAGTGCGGACAAAAAAAAACAAAAAATGAAAAAACAATTGCAGAAGTGGGATTCAAACCCACACCTGCAGAACCAGACTGTGACCTGAACGCAGCGCCTTAGACCGCTTGGCCATCCTGACAAGTTAATGTTAATTGATGCGTTTTCAAGTACGCAAATTAATTCAAGGTGCAAAAGGCCACAGACACACATTACTTGATGTCCTTATTATTCCCCCCCCCCCCCAGACCCCTGTAGGATCCTACTGGTTGTTCCTCCCACTGCAGACGTTAAAAAATGCTCAGGGATGCTACCAGCTTTTCTCGGATTATTCCCAACTTTGCCTCAGCCCACCTGGAAGGGTTTTCCTGACCTTCTAAAAACTTAAAATGAGGGAGCATACAAAAATAATCCAATTTTGTCCTGCTATGGGGAAGAACCCTCCGCCGTCCAAGGGTTAAATCACAAAAACTATTCAGAATTGACAGAGATATAATCAAAAGCACAAAACTTTTTTGAAAATCGAGCCAGAATGTTTCATTTTTAAATTTCATAAGAAATTTTGTTATGGGCCTAATTTTAAAAATTTTGCACCTTGAATGCACCTGAAAGTTCTGTAAATGTTCCTGTTTTTTTATTAAAAGATATTTCCCAACACCAACTAAACATTTCTCCTTTATATCTTAAGGGAGAGACTACCTTGCTTAACATTTTTTTCAGCTAACGTTTTTTTCTGCTGCACCAACTAAAAACGTTAAGCAAGGGTTGACTGTACACTTGATTGCCTCGGGAATTATTGCTGAATGACTCATCCGTTATCACAGCCTGTGAAAGGGAAAGTGGGATTCAGAGACGTTCACTTTTCCTACCCACAAAGAGCACAAGTGCCTGTTCTTCAGGGACTCTCAGCCACTGTTTCCCCAGGACAAACTCTGGCTGTTGTGGGACCAAGTGGTTGTGGTAAATCCACAGTTATTTCCCTCATCCAAAGGTTTTATGACCCTCTTAGGGGTCAAGTGGTGAGTTCAGCTAATCTTTATCTAATTTATGTAGCATTTTCTGGAAAAGAAAAAAAACTGGTAGATCGATTGCTTACATTTGGGAAAATTTGCCACCTCTGTTGCCCATATGAGTGTCCAAGCAGTAGACTGAATAAAATCTGACCATTTGGGCGAATGGGTTATGATAAAATGAATTGAATCTATTCTAAGCCTTCTGCAGCAAAGCTGGGATTTTCAAATTTTGCCAGGCACTGAAAATTGTTTTGACTTGTGCATCAAAGTTCTGGACTTGGTTTTATGGCACAGCTGCTTTTTCTTTGATAAAATCAGAATACAGTACTCTAATGCAGTATTCCCCAACCTGTGGTCCATAGACTGGCACTGGTTTGCACACGTTTTTTGCTGGTCTGCAGGAGATTTTCAGCATAATACATTTAATAAAAGTAGCAATGAACTCTATTATCATTATCTAAAAGTTTGAGAAGACAATATGGCAGTTGAAATTATTTGATGAAAAATAAAATTTGGCTTTTTTCCTAATATCACTTCAGACACATTTTTACCTGCTGACATAAATTATTTTAATTTCTTATTCTGAGAAACCTTTCTTCAAGCCCACCTTTCTAAGTTTTTGATGACATTCAGCTATAACTGCTTCAAATGTGCTTAACTTTATTTTTTGCACAAGCAGAAACTTTTATATACCTGCCATGAAGTTTTTCAAGCAAAATTTGTTTAAGTCTGTAAACATTTTATGAAACTTTGCTATAGTCCCCAGAACATGTTTTGGGAATATGCTTGTCCAAAAAACGTTTCATGGAAATTTGCCAGTCTGCATGCCCAAAAAGGTTGGGGAACACTGCTCTAGTGTGTTAAAAAATCCGAACACTTGCCTTTGGATAGAAATCAATGGCTAAGGACTTTACAGATTGATCAGATATTCAAGGAGAAAAATCAGAGCAGTTCAATTGCAGCTATTGCTGCACACGATTTTTATTCAGTAAATTTTGAGTTCCAAAGGTTTGAATAATTATTTCCCGCTCCATTTCAAAATAAGGAAAAGGGATCACACATATTTTTGATTCTTGACTAACCCCATAAATTATATTGCTGACTATATTAGATTTTGTACCCTGTGATTCAATGTATAGAAATGTCTACAGCATTGTAAATTCGGAAGATTCAGATTAGTTTGTTGTTTCCTGGGGCTTTTTCCGGATGGTATTAAAATGCAA